TAGTGATAAAGTAAAGTATTACATCGCGATTGCATTGCATACAATAAAGCGACAACCATATGGCTCCTGCCAGTTGCCGATAACTCGGTTACAAAACATGATCATCTCATACAATAAAATTCAGCATCATGTCTTGACCATATCACATCACAACATGCCCTGCAAAAACAAGTTAGACGTCCTCTACTTTGTTGTTGCAAGTTTTACGTGGCTGCTACGGGCTTAAGCAAGAACCCATCTTACCTACGCATCAAAACCACAACGATAGTTTGTCAATTTGACTCCGTTTTAACCTTCACAAGGACCAGGCGTAGCCACGCTCGGTTCAACTAAAGTTGGAGAGACTGTCGCCCGCAAGCCACCTATGTGCAAAGCACGCCGGGAGAACCGGTCTCGCGTAAGCGTACGCGTAATGTCGGTCCGGGTCGTCTCGTCCAACAATACCGCCGAACCAAAGTATGACATGCTGGTAGGCAGTGTGACTTATATCGCCCACAACTCACTTGTGTTCTACTCGTGCATATAACATCAACATATAAAACCTAGGCTCGGATGCCACTGAAGGGTTTCGTAGTAATTTCAAAAAAAAATTCCTACGCACACGCAAGATCATGTGATGCATAGCAACGAGAAGGGGGAGTGTGATCTACATACCTAGTAGATCGACAACGGAAGCGTTTGGTTGATGTAGTCGTACGTCTTCACGATCAGACCGATCAAGCACCGAAACTACGGCACCTCCGAGTTCTAGCACACGTTCAGCTCGATGATGAACCCCGGACTCCGATCCAGCAAAGTGTCGGGGAAGAGTTTCGTCAGCACGACGGCGTGGTGACGATCTTGATGTACTACAGCAGCAGGGCTTCGCCTAAACTCCGCTACAATATTATCGAGGACTTTGGTGGCTGGGGGCGCCGCACACGGCTAAGGAAAAGATCACGTGGATCAACTTATGTGTTTCTGGGGTGCCCCTGCCTCTGTATATAAAGGACTAAAAGGGGGGGAGGATGGCCGGCCATGAGGGGCGCGCCAGGAGAGTCCTACTCCCTCTGGGAGTAGGATTCCCCTGCCCAATCCTAGTTGGAATAGGACTCGCGGAGGGGGAAAAAGAGAGAGAGGGGCCGGCCCCCTCTCCTTGTCCAATTCGGACCAAGGGAGGGGAGGGGCGCACGGCCCACTATGGGTTGCCTCTTCTCTTTTCCACTAAGGCCCAATAAGGCCCATCTAGCTCCCCGGGGGGTTCCGGTAACCTCCTGGTACTCCGGTAAAATCCTGATTTCACCCGGAACACTTCCGATATCCAAACATAGGCTTCCAATATATCAATCTTTATGTCTCGACCATTTCAAGACTCCTCGTCATGTCCATGATCACATCTGGGACTCCGAACAACCTTCGGTACATCAAAATGCATAAACTCATAATATAACTATCATCGTAACCTTAAGCGTGCGGACCCTACGGGTTCGAGAACAATGTAGACATGACCGAGACAAGTCTCCGGTCAATAAACAATAGCGGGACCTGGATGCCCATATTGGCTCCTACATATTCTACGAAGATCTTTATCGGTCAGACCGCATAACAACATACGTCGCTCCCTTTGCCATCGGTATGTTACTTGCCCGAGATTCGATCGTCGGTATTCCAATACCTAGTTCAATCTCGTTGTTGGCAAGTCTCTTTACTCGTTCTGTAATACATCATCCCGCAACTAACTCATTAGTCGCAATTGTTGCAAGGCTTAAGTGATGTGCATTACCGAGAGGGCCCAGAGATACCTCTCCGACAATCGGAGTGGCAAAACCTAATCTCGAAATACGCCAACCCAACATGTACCTTTGGAGATACCTGTAGTACTCCTTTATAATCACCCAGTTACGTTGTGACGTTTGGTAGCACCCAAAGTGTTCCTCTGGTAAAAGGGAGTTGCATAATCTCATAGTTATAGGAACATGTATAAGTCATGAAGAAAGCAACAGCAACATACTAAACGATCGGGTGCTAAGCTAATGGAATAGGTCATGTCAATCAGATCATTCACTTAATGATGTGATCCCGTTAATCAAATAACAACACATTGTTCATGGTTAGGAAACATAACCATCTTTGATTAATGAGCTAGTCAAGTAGAGGCATACTAGTGACACTTTGTTTGTCTATGTATTCACACATGTATTATGTTTCCGGTTAATACAATTCTAGCATGAATAATAAACATTTATCATGATATAAGGAAATAAATAATAACTTTATTATTGCCTCTAGGGCATATTTCCTTCAGAGTGATGGGATTGGTGGCTACATCTAGTGCGTAGGTTGATGGCGGTTAACCTTTCTGATAAACTAGATACATTGCACTGGAAACTTTTGGTACCAGGCAGTTAAATCTATATATGTAGATTTGATTAACACTAGTTCAATCCCAAAGTCGCTTCATATCTGAAAAATCAAGGTACCTTTAAAAACAAAGGTCTTCATGTGTTTTTACACCAGCAAGTGATCTTGACTAAAAACAACTTGACAAAGCGTAGATGGAAGGGTAGTAAATGATGTTGCTTCTGTGATTAGGATGAAATAATACAACATCTATTCCTCAATTGTCCACTAGCCAAATTATTGTGGTGCACAGTACATGTGTTCTTTAATGTCAGCCCACCTAACAACATGGCCAATTTATTTTGGGACATGGCTAAATGGCATAGAGCCAAATTCTTGTCCTATTTTTGCTGGTTGTGGCAGCTTTTTCTTTTTTTATTCGATCTTTCTTGCGAACTTATATCGGATTACGTACTTTGTGGAGACTTTGCTTAATAATATGGTTGTGTGCATCAATTGATGCAGAGGTCGGGGTAATCTTTATTTAAATAAATAATCGAATAAAGTTCCTAATGGTATAATTTTCTAATATACAGTATAAAACATATTACTTTGATTAAATTGATGACCTAGCAATAAGCGCAGACCCCTAAAAAAAGCAATAAGCGCAGACATTACAAACTGGAACTGAGGTAGAGACAACAGGTAGACGGTTAGTATTGACATGTGAAATGATGCATCCGAAATGCATCCATAATCACTCAGTCATAATGTAACGCCCTCGATGTGGCTATATCTCCCACGTGTCGAGGCACAACTTAGAGGCATAACCGCATTGAAAGCAATGTCGCAAGTTAGGCAATCTTGACAACATCCCATGTAATATGGATAATAAAAGGGGAGATACATAGTTGGCTTACACTTGCCACGGCAATCAAAGTACATAAATAGCATTACATCAACCAAACACTCATGGCCCGACTACGGCGCCAAAATAAAAGATAAACCCAACATGCGACACGGTCCCAATCGTCCCAACTGGGCACCACTACTGATCATCAGGGAAAGACACATAGTAACGGCGTGAGTCCTTGTCGAACTCCCACTTGAGCTCAAGCGCGTCATCTGGAACAGAGTCATCAGGCCCTGCATCTGGAACGGATCACTAGGAAACAACATGAACATATGGCATATTGAGATAAACGGATCAAGGACTTAGTGGAAATGCTAAGTCTCTGAAATCAGCATTAACGAATGCACCACTTTGCAAGCTTGTGCTAGTCACCACACATATCATAAAAATACATGGGTTGCACCCCTAGAAAGATGGCAAAGCATATAACAAAACACATGTAGAGCTCAGGGGCATATCATGCACACATTAATCATGGCAAAAATGACAAATATCTAATTGGAGCAGCAGATGAACTCAAAAGAAAATGATGCAATGAGATGAAATGATGTGCTCTTTGAGACGGACATTTTGATATGCTATATACCCAAAACGGAGTTACGGGTGCAAAGTTACGATGCGATGAACATGAGCATTTGAATCTGGGAATCTCGGGGACTTAGAAGAAAAAATCACCACCTCGCGGATTAGGGTTGACCCGGGCACGCAGAACGAGGCGGTGGCGGATCTCGCCGGAGATGACGAAGACGGCGGCCGGCGAGGTCGGGGTCGCCGGATCCGGCCGTCCCGCGGCCGGATCTGGCCGGAGGCGAGACGCGGGGCGCCGGGAGGAGGCGGCGGCCGGCGAGGACGTCGAGGCGATGGGGCGGCGGAGCAGGCCGGCGGGACGGGCGGCGAGACGGCGGTGAGGTGGCGCGGCGGAGCGGCGAGTCGGCGGCGAGGAAGGAGGTTAGATAGGGTCTTAACCGCGAATTTCGAAGGGGTGCACCTATTTATAGATAGAGGGAGCTAGAAGAGTCCAAATGACGTGCGGTTTTCGGTCACGCGATCGTGATCGAATGCTCTAGATGATGGAGAGGGTTTGGGTGGGTTTTTGGGCCAAAATGAAGGGGTGTTGGGCTGCAACAAACACGAGGCCTTCTCGGTCCCTCGGTTAACCGTTGGAGCATCAAACGAAGTCCAAATGGTACGAAACTTGACAGGCGGTCTACCGGTAGTAAACCAAGGCCGTTTGGCAAGTCTCGGTCCAATCCGGAAATGTTTAATCCCCACACACGAAAGAAAGGTAGAAATGACCACCGAAGGAGAACGGAGCGCCGGAATGCAAAACGGACAACGGAGAAAATGCTTGAATGCATGAGATGAATACGTATGCAAATGCAATGCACATGATGACATGGTATGAGATGCATGACAACGATAACAATACACGGAGACAAAAACCCAAACCCGAGAAATAAAATAACTTAACGCCGGAAATGGCAAAAGTTTGATTACATATTGGGTAAATCATATCCGGCGTGTTACACATAACCCTGACATTCAAGCAAGGTGGATATAAATAACAAGATAGAAGTAAGAAGAGTGGATTGTCTTGTCACATTGTTCACGCTACAGTCGCAAACGTACCAACTTTAGCGAATGAATAATTCTTAAAAATGATCCTTTTTTTTCTTATGCAAAGTGTTCAGTAGAGATTCTGCAAAGTGCCAAGGAATCCGGGGAATGACCGAATTTAAGAGTCAAACACTACGGTGTTTACTCATGTCTACAACTCGTCGTCCTGACGACCGGCGGTTGCCGTGGACAGCTTTGGAGTAGCCAAGCTCTCCAGCCAGACCTTGTCGCGGACGGTGGCGTATTCGTCGTCGTTGCGGTGCCATGTCCAAACGGCGCTCGTCTCGTTGACGATTCTCAGCCGACCGTGCCCGAAGCTCGCCTCCCGGAACACCGACAGGTGCGCTGACCTGTGATCCTTGTGGAACCTTCAACAAAACAACAAGAATCCCTTTCAAAATCTATAAGAAAGAGACCAAGGAGATCAGAAACAGTGAGATCGATCGCCTACTTGAGAGCAAGCCCTTCCCTGTTGCCGCCGTCGCCAATGGTGATGTACATCGGGCCCCGGCTGTCGGCCTCGTTGTCGTAGATCCTTGTCTGGCTCATCCACCAGCCAAAAAGTTAGCCTGTTTTGCACTTCATCGATGGAGCAAAAATATAGTAGTAGGGCTTACGAATCGCTCGTAGGCGTGAACGTGTCCGGAGAAGACGACGTCGACGCGGGCCTCGTAGAGGAGCCTCTCCATGGCGGCGCGCATCGCCTCGCCCTCCCCCTGGTGCGCCTGGTTGGTGTTGTACCACGGCGCGTGCAGCAGCACCAGCAGCCACGGCGTCTTCCGCCGGTCCACGCCGGCGAGGTCCCGCTCCAGCCACGCGTACTGCTCCGACCCTTGCTCGAACTCCGTGTAGGAGCCCAGCATCACGACGTGCGCCGCGCCGCCGGCCACGTCCAAGGAGTAGTAGAGGTTGGAGGCGGAGCCGCTCTCCTCGTGCGGCATGCGCCACCGCGCGTTGTACGCGACGAAGGGCGCGAAGCCCACGACGGGGAGCGCCTCCACCTCGTGGTTGCCCTCCGTCACCATCCACGGCCGCGCGCTCGCCAGCGGCTGCACCAGCCGCCCGAACGAGTCCCACAGCGGCTGCTGCGTGTCCGCGTACGACAGGTCGCCAGGGAGCAGCAGCATGTCGTAGTCCGCGCCGCCGATGTGCGACAGCGTCGACGCGGTCCAGCCTGTCTGGCCGAGGTCGCCGATGACGACGAGCTCGATCGGGAGGGACGCCGGTGGGGTCCTGAGGGTGAACTCGTCGCCGGCCTTGCCGCACCGGTAGTGGTAGGTCGTGCTGGCCGCCAGCGGGCCGATCGTCACGTGGTGGATCGCGCCGGACTTGTAGAAGAAGTAGCGGTACGTCGCGTGATTGCCGGTCGTGGACACCGTGTAGTTGCCGCGAGATTTGCCGTACTCCACCACCGACGGCGCGTTCCGGTCGTCAGTGACCCATGAAATCCGCATGCTGTTGCTTCCGACAGTTGAAATATGCACCTAACGGGTACCATGTTAAAATGTAAAATTAGTGAAAATACCCACAAAAGTAAACACAGTTACATATTTGTACAAGCACCCGATCCGTCATATTTTGTTTTTGTATAAACGTCCCTAAAACAAAGAATTGTATAAGCACTAGCAAAAGAAGACCTGTGGCATAATAAATTCCTAAAAAAAGACCCGTGACATAAAGGCAAGTCTGAAAAAATATTTAAGTTATGAGCAAAACTTGTATTTATTTTAAATACACATAAGCACGTGTATCATATTTTGATAGAAGGGGTAAAGAAACTCATCCACAAGTTTACAATCCGGGTACATGATCCATACGCCGACTACTCGCTACGCCCTGCGTATACAACTCCGCAAATAGTACTTGCAAATCCCCTCCGAGCACAATTCTTAATAAATAAAAACAGAATTCCAAGTTTTAGAAAAATCGGAAAATTAAACACATACATAGGGATGCATACCACATGTTTGCAAAGTTTTAGAAAACTCTGGGTTGCCCGGTGCTAGCAGTTGCTCACAAATGATATTGAACTAGAAAGGTTGGGCGCGCTTTGTTGCGCCGTTGGTGTTGTTAGGTTTCTTAAAAAAAATACTCACTCTGTTTTAAAATAGAAGGTGTATTACCTTTTTGAAAGTCAGGCTTGTTAATTTTGATAAATTTTTCAGAGAAATGTATCAAGATCCATAATATCAAATTGGTATGATAGATTCATCATGAAATGGGTTTTCATATTTCTTTTGTTCAATATTGTGGATGTTGATATTTTTTTCTCTGAACTTGGTCAAAGTTGAAAAAATTTAATTTTCCAAAAAAAACTAAAACCCCTTATATTTTGGAACCGATGGAATATTTAGTTTGGGCATGTGGGGGAGATGGTGGAGTGTGTTTATTTTTATTTATAATGCAATGATTTGATGGGCCTTTCATAGTGTGGTACTACCTCCGTCCTGGTTTATTGATCCCTTTTGTATTCTGTGCCAAATTTTGACCTTAAATTTAACTAACAAAATCTTAATGCATGTCATAGAAAATGATATCATTGGAAACATCAAATACGAATCCAATGATATAATTTTTGGTGACATGCATTAATATTTTCTTAGTTAAACCAAGACGGAGGTAGTATGTGTTATCCGCTAACCAACATATATTCATGTGGGGCAATTTCTGCGTCGGTGGTTGCATGTACTATATTGGTGATACAATAGCACATGTTGCCTTTTTTTTCTAGGTGGTGGGAGGGTGTGTGGGACTGATATGTTTTTATAGACCGGTTGCTGCTGATTTATTTGAAAAATCATTCACCCGTATTTAAACCAAATTCAAAATCGAATACCTCAACTGAACGAAAGATTTTTAGAATTAAAGAACGTATGAAAGCAAAACAATTGAACGGGAGAGTTCTTTTAGAAATTGTTGACCGAGTCAAAATCAGGTGACTCAATTCTGAATTGAAGATCTCAATTAATTATGAGGCCTTAAAAATTAGAAAGCTTAGTGTATAGTATAAAATAATTGAATAAAAGAGCTTTGAAAATTGTTGACCCGATTAAAATCAGATAACCAATTTTAATTGGAGACTTCAAGGGACAAAGGAGCATTGTGTTATCAAGGATTTGGTCTTGAAATTTGCCTAAGGATGGAAACTACAGTCCCGCAAAAAAAGAAAAAAGAAATCTACAGTCCCGGGAACGGCCAGCCCGAGTACGAGGCTCGGCTTGGGTGCGTGGTTTTTCTTTTATAAAAAAAATGCTAACATGGGCTGCTCTCTAAGCTTTTGGTGAAATGCGAGTTTTCAGAAAATTCACGTTTCTTTTAAATGATATTTGGCCGTGCAGAGAAGGCGACTACTTTTCGTACTGAGTAGAGTACTGACGATGTCAGTTTCATCATCTTTATAGTAGGCACAACTGGACTGGTGGGTGGAGGAATTAAACCCCTCTGTTAAAATCTGCACATGATCATGACAGCATCTTGTACAGACATCAAGAATCAAGCAGCGTTTTTCTTCTTCGAGGAACTTTGTAAGTGTTGCAAACAGTACTAAGGGGTAACTGAAATTAACCACAGATTTAGTTGCTAACATCGAGATCAGATTATCCATTGTCATTGTTATCCATTGTTTGGGTATCTGCTAAACATCGAAGATGATCTGTCTATACAAGCCAAAAAGCAACGCATTGGGGATAAAACAGAGTTGACCGATCAAGGACGCTTCTGCCACCAAATTTTTGACAGCGAAAATTCTTATGAATCAGCTGCGCACGTCTCCGTGTGACAAAACGAACAAGAAGCAGCTAAAAAATAACTCCGCAAGAAACGCCAAATTCTTGCACACACATTTGAGAGTTGTTCAGGGCCAAAAATCCGCCCTTACCTGCTGAGGCTCCGTTCGGTTTGTGGGCAGAGAAAACGAAGGAATAAATAACTACACAGGAATAGACTTGATTGTACAGAGCAAACCTAGGGAGCCTTTTGGCCTGTTCGGTTTGTAGGAATATAGGACCTAGAGCACGATGCAGGGAAGGCCGTTCACAGTGTTGACTAGATTTCTTTATTGTCTTGAGAAGTGATGACCACTCGTGAACCCCCATGCAGCTAGATTGTTTATTCAGCTGGACAGCCCTAGAGCCAGAGATTAGCCTTGGGCCTTCCGAGAACATGAGGTTCTGGTGGATTTTAGTTTTCCCGTGAAAAGTACAGGTTGGCATGTCTTTCCGATGGAACGGGCGACTGAGAATCCTCCAAAACGAACACACTGTTGGTTGAAATTCCTGCGGAAACCAAACCTGCAAAAGTTCCTCCGGAAATCCTGTATACCGAACGGAGCCTGAGGATGAGCCGCCGGCTTGTCGTGCGCCGTCAGCACGAGCGGGCTCGGCGGCGGCCGGACGTACTCGTCGGCGCGCGCGCAGAGAAACACCAGCGACGTGAGCCCCTGCATGAGCAGCCTCCACGAGTGCGCCATGGCTCCCACCAACAAGTCCCCGTAGAAGGTGCCGGTGACGCTGCGCCCGAGCGCCGCCTGGTTCACGCAACGAAGGCACCGCTCGTTGGCCGCCGCGAAGAGGACCCTGGCCACGCCGAGGACGCTGCCGGCCGCGGCGTGGTATAAAACGCGGGTGAGCGCAACGGCCACGCGGAATGCCGCGCACATGAACAGTAGCGTGCGGAGCAGAATGGCGGTCCGCCTGTTACGCGTGTCGCCGCGATGCCAGGAGGAGGTCGTCCCCTCCGTCGCCGTCACCGTCGCCGACCTTGGCTTTAAGAAGCACGGGACCTGGTAGGGTGTAGCCGCACGCCATCACGTTAATAGTATTATGGGACGAAGACTTTCTGCAGAGCATGTTGTGGCCTCGTAGTCGTAGGTATCCGGAGGAGCATATCCTTGCTCCTGGCGGAGATGCCACGGGCGTTTGTCTTACCTGACATGTGCCGTCGGCGGCTGTGGCGGTTGCGGCTGCCGGAGAGGAGGTGCGCGCTCGTGCTGGTGCTGGCGGTGGCGGGGTGGTGGAGGGGGAGGAAGGGAGGAGATAGGTAGGCTGGGGCTGGCATTGCTGCAACTTTTACCGAAGCTTTTTTTTATCTGTTCCTCCTCTTTTCTCTTTTCTGCATTCTTTTGAGCGAGCCTCCGTGGCAATATAGTATGTCGCTGTTTGGATCATTGGATGGGAGCTGAAAGCAGCACGCCAGCTGCTACTGACGCATTGGAGGTTGATAACCTGATGGGGACAGGAGAGGCTGAAGACATGCGAGGTGGCCAGCAATCTAGTCAGTGAATCGCTTTATGACTTTGATAGAAGGAGTCTGGATAATTGCAATGAGTGAATGATTATGATTTCTTTCCAAAACTAGTTACCGACCCATGCACCTTCATGGGCCAGTAGCTATTACTACAACGGAAAATGCATTGCAACTCTCGGGTGCCACACAACCTTATATGAAAAATGCATTGAAATATAAGAAAAATATGATTTTTTTTGAAATTTTGGGATATGAAACCTGAGTGTTCGTTGTACACATGTGCTCGTTTTCCTGAGAAATGGGTGCCCGTGGTATGCGCGGCATAGGAGTCCGACATATGTCACATTCAGTTTTTTAATACACATTTGATTTTTTTATCCTTTTTATTGGCATTACCATGGGCACCTATTACCCATGAAACTAAACATGTGTGTACAACGGGCACCCAAGTTTCATATCCCAAAATTTCAGATTTTTTTTACTTTTCTATTATGTTTCTTAATGCTTTTTTCATATAGGGGTGTGTGGCACCCAAGAGCCATAAATCCTCATCCTTACTACAACACATAACTTAGGGCATCTCCAATGCCGTGCCGCAAAACACTTGCATGTTTTTTGTCATCCAACAATGTGTCGCTAACGTCTTGAACATGTCCGCATGTCTGAGTTTCAGCAAACCAAATGCAAAGTTAGGGGAGGTTTGCGTGAGTATGGACCATCATCACGTAGGACTCCGACAACCCCGGCTACCCAAAACCTCATTTGGAGCCCATGAATTTGGCTGCATCCACACTGTTATGGTGCCAAAGCATGCACATTCCCACCCTCTCTAGCAGATTGATGTCGCCGTCCACCCATGTTCCCGGCCTTTTCGTCGTCCGTCGCCGCATGAATCCGTTCGCACCATTGCCGGAGTCGAAGAAGGAGGATGAAACTTTGGTGGTCGCCTGGAAGATCAACTCGATGACCCGCAACGTGGGCCACCGCGTCTAAAGGATCAAGGAGAAAGTGGCTTTGGTGGCCGTCCACCCGCCATCTCCTAAGAAGGACGGAGTGCCGGGACGGGGGTGATTGGCCGAGCGGGGATAGGGCATCGCCGCTGCCAATGTAGTCATCGCTCCGGCCAACGCAGATATGCAACAGACGTACTACTATGCGGCGATGCAGCTCAGTCATCAGCACCCATCCTCGGCTACTCTCGGCACGTCCAGGCCATGGGTTGTCGACCTAAACGAACCTGTTCATTTCGCCGAGTCACCACTGTTATAGCTTGTTTGGTTGCAGACGTCCGGTGTGGCAATTGGGTGGCTGCTCTCTGTTTGCTGACATATCTCACCCGAGCAGGACGCCGAAAAATGATGGGGATAAGTTGAATATCATCCACGACGGATGTGGCTTTGAGAACGAACAATTGGGGACTCCTAAACAGAGATATACAACGAGTCGCCGGGCACAAACAGCGAGCAGCCGTGCATGTACAACGAGTAGTTGGGCACATACACCCAGCCGCCATACTCATATGCCAAGAAGACGGGCCTTGATATGGAGGATTGGTCAGCCGATGATGACCGAAAGAAGAGTGGGTGGGGAGAAAGCTCTAATTGGAGGGAGGACGAATTGTTGTGCAAAGCTTGGTCGGCCACTAGTGTGGATCTGTTTCAAGGCATGGAGCAAAGAGGCTTTCAGTACAATGTTCATACTTGGTTCCATGATCACAAGAACTTCGATCCCTACAGCATGGAAGTGATCCGAGATCATTCGATAAAGTCGCTCTCCCATCGATGATACATGTCAGAGCCCTAGAATAAAGTGTTGGGAACGCAGTATTTCAAAAAATTTACCTACGATCACGCAAGATCTATCTAGCAGATGCATAGCAACAAGAGGGGAGAGTGTGTCTACGTACCCTCGTAGACCGAAAGCGGAAGCGTTAAATAACACGGTTGATGTAGTTGAACATCTTCGCGATCCAACCGATCAAGTACCGAATGCACGGCACCTCCGCGATCTGCACACGTTCAGCTCGGTGATGTCCCTCGTGCTCTTGATCCAGTTGAGGCCGAGGGTGAGTTGCGTCAGCACGATGGCGTGTTGACGGTGATGATGAAATTACCGACGCAGGGCTTCGCCTAAGCACTACGACAATATGACCGAGGTGGAAAACTGTGGAGGGGGGCACCACACATGGCTAAAGATCAACTTGTGTGTCTATGGGGTGCCCCCTCCCCCGTATATAAAGGAGGGGAGGAGGAGGAGGGCCGGCCTCAAGGGGTGCACCCAAAGGGGGGATTCCTACTCCTAGTAGGAGTAGGTTTCCCCCTTTCCTAGTCCAAGTAGGAGAAGAAGGAAGGAGAGGGAGAGGGAGAAGGAAAGAGGGGGACGCCGCCCCCTCCTAGTCCAATTCGGCCCAGCCCATGGGGGGCGTGATGCCTCCCCTTGTGGCCATTCTCTCCTTTCCACTAAAGCCCAGTAAGGCCCAATACTTCCCCCGGCGAATTCCCGTAACTCTCCGGTACTCTGAAAAATACCCGAATCACTCGGAACCTTTCCGATGTCCGAATATAGCATTCCAATATATCGATCTTTACGTCTCTACCATTTCGAGACTCCTCGTCATGACCGTGATCTCATTCGGGACTCCGAACAACCTTCGGTACATCAAATCACATAACTCATAATACAAATCGTCATCGAACGTTAAGCGTGCGGACCCCACGGGTTCGAGAACTGTGTAGACATGACCGAGACACATCTCCGGTCAATAACCAATAGCGGAACCTGGATGCTCATATTGGTTCCTATTCTACGAATATCTTTATCGGTCAAACCGCATAACAACATACGTCATTCCCTTTGTCATCGGTATGTTACTTGCCCGAGATTCGATCGTCGGTATCATCATACCTAGTTCAATCTCATTACCGGCAAGTCTCTTTACTCATTTCGTAAAGCATCATCCCGTAACTAACTCATTAGTCACATTGCTTGCAAGGCTTATAGTTATGTGCATTACCAAGAGGGCCCAAAGATACCTCTCCGACAATTGGAGTGACAAATCCTAATCTCGATCTATGCCAACTCAACAAACACCATCGAAGACACCTGTAGAGCATCTTTATAATCACCCAGTTACGTTGTGACATTTGATAGCACACTAAGTGTTCCTCCGGTATTCGGGAGTTGCATAATCTCATAGTCAGAGGAACATGTATAAGTCATGAAGAAAGCAATAGCAATAAACTAAACGATCATAGTGCTAAGCTAACGGATGGGTCTTGTCCATCATATCATTCTCTAATGATGTGATCCCGTTCATCAAATGACAACACATGTCTATGGCTAGGAAACTTAACCATCTTTGATTAACGAGCTAGTCTAGTAGAGGCATACTAGGGACACTCTGTTTGTCTATGTATTCACACATGTACTAAGTTTCCGGTTAATACAATTCTAGCATGAATAATAAACATTTATCATGATATAAGGAAATATAAATAACAACTTTATTATTGCCTCTAGGGCATATTTCCTTCAGTCTCCCACTTGCACTAGAGTCAATAATCTAGTTCACATCGTCATGTGATTTCACACCAATAGTTCACATCTTTATGTGATTAGTTCACATCTTCATGTGACTAATACCCAAAGGGTTTACTAGAGTCAATAATCTAGTTCACATCGCTATGTGTTTAACATCCAAAGAGTGATCATGTTTTGCTTGTGAGAGAAGCAACATTCAGATCTGTATGTATTTTGCAAATTTCTATGTCTACAACACTCTACACGGAGCTACTCTAGCTAATTGCTCCCACTTTCAATATGTATCTAGATCGAGACTTAGAGTCATCTAGATCGGTGTAAAAAGCTTGCATCGATGTAACTCTTTACGATGAACTCTTTTATCACCTCCATAACCGAGAAATATTTCCTTAATCCTCTAAGGATAATTTTGGCCGCTGTCTAGTGATCTACTCCTAGATCACTATTGTACTCCCTTGCCAAAATCATGCTAAGGTATACAATAGGTCTGGTACACAACATAGCATAATTTATAGAACCTATGATTGAGGCATAGGGAATGACTTTTCATTCTCTTTCTATTTTCTGTCATGGCCGGGTTTTGAGTCTTTACTCAATTTCACACCTTACAACTCAGGCAAGAACTCCTTTGACTGATCCATTTTGAACTCCCTCAAAATCTTATCAAGGTATGTAATCATCAAAAGTCTTATCAAGCGTCTTGATCTATCTTTATAGATCTTGATGCCCAATATGTAAGTAGCTTTACAGGTAATTCTTTCTTTGAAAAACTCCTTTCAAATTCTCCTTTATGCTTTCCAGAAAATTCTACATCATTTCCGATCAACAACATGTCATTCACATATACTTACCAGAAATGTTGTAGTGCTCCCACTCACTTTCTTGTAAATACAGACTTCACTGCAAGTCTTTATAAAACTATATGCTTTATCAACTCATCAAAGCGTATATTCCAACTCTGATATGTTTGCACCAGTCCATAGATGGATCGTTGGAGCTTGCACACTTTGTTAGCACCTTTAGGATTGACGAAACTTTCTTGTTGTATCATATACAACTCTTTTTTTTCAGAAATCCATGAAGGAATGCAGTTTTGACATCCATTTGCCATATTTCATAAAATGTGCCAATTGCTAACATGATTCAGACAGACTTAAGCATCACTACGAGTGAGAAAATCTCATCGTAGTCAACACCTGGAACTTGTCGAAAACTTTTTTTTGACAATTCGAGCTTTGTAGATAGTAACACTACTATCAGCGTCCGTCTTC